AAAAAAAAAAAAAAAAAAACGAGGATCACCTAGAATCATTCAATTTTAGGATGATGAAGTTGTTCTAATTTACTTCTTATAAAAATGCAACAAAAAACAAAACCGTATTCCAGACACAAAAACACTCCGTAAAGACTTTATATTTCTCCAAATTTCCGAAAATTAATTGCTGCAATGTCCTAAACTGCAAAAATAAAACTAATTAATTAGCTGTTTGGCAATAACAGTTACAGCAAGGTACCGTAGCAAAAACTACATTTACAGGCAAAAAATGACTCCATCATCGATATCGAAATTGTAGAACTTAACACATTCTGTTCCGATGGATGTATATACGGAGGACTTGAAATTAAAGCCGATGCCGACAAACGCCTCACAGGTTACAGGTAACAAAATAACAAACCTCTTCTATCCCAAAAAATTCATAGCTTTGTACTACCATTAGTAAGTTTCCGAAAGCTTACTTCTGAAAAGCAAATAATGGTTGAAAAAGCTGTTTCTACTGTGAACAACAATAACCTTTAAAATCACTGAAGCTAATCTTTAACTGAACGCCTTTTTCTGCTATTCCAAGGTAACTTTTTAGGTTTTGTTGTAGCAATCAATACAGAAGGATTCGAGCATATGGGAAAATAATTCCAGTCATTCTTTTCAGCAGAAAAGACTATGTTAGCTTTAAAATTAAATACTGGTCAACTGGACTTTATTCAAGCCAAAGATAAGCTTTACTCGGTCGAAAAATAATCTATGTACATAAAAGTATAAATATAAAAAACTGTAAAAAAATTAACACACTCTGTTTGGAACTAAAACCTACCAACGTGACTTACATTCTGTGCAAAATAAAATAAGGAACACGAAGGAGATTTCGGGGAGATTTTTGAATATAATGCTGAACCAGCATAATTCAGAGAAAAAAATGAGTCCACTTCAGGAATTACGTCCCGCATGCCACAAAATCTTCTTTGGAAAAGAATAAAATAAATGAACTTTTGATTCCTGTAGTGAAACACACGTCCCTCATAGCAACTAAATAACCAAAAATGAAGCTTTTAAACTGTGCATAAAAGCAAAGCCATACATATGAAGAAGAAGATACCTCTAAACATCTAGCCAGCGTAGATATAATTCTGGAGATCCTTTTCCCCAACTACCCTGAAAAAGAAGAAGTGTGAGTTTGACAAGCTGAATTCAATGAGCTTTTTCTTCTAAAAATAGATGCCTTCAGGCAACCCTCACCAATGATATAAATGAATGACAAAATTTCAAGAATTTCCGGTCAACTGAAACTTCAAGAAAATAAGAAAAATTTCCTAAAGGTGTCTTTTTGAAAACAAAATTAACAATGAAAAAATGATAGACACCACTGCTTTGTAAAACTTCAGTAAATACAAACTTCGCTGCTTTCAACATTAAGTCCTCCGTAGCTAAACATTTATATCTCGGCGTATCCAAGTTACCATCAGCAGAAGTTTTTATCAAAAGCCCTAGCGAACATAATTCATTAACCTGAATGTATTAAGCAGAATTTTAGAGGTTTCAAAAAAAATAGTACGAAAATAAATAGATGCATACGAAATGTTACCAAAGGGAACAAGTTCGGGAGCTCCATTTTCACTAAATCGAAACTTCGTAGTAGAGACAAATATATGAAGTAAAGCCGCTGAAGATCGAAATTCCTGGGGATCTTCTCTGAAGCAATAGATTGCCTTCGCTTCGAAGCCTCTGATAAACTTTTTGCTTTTGCATTACCCTAAATTTCATTTGAAACGTAGCGAACTTTGAACTGAAACCTTTTGGAACAACAGACGATAGAGAAGGTATAGAGAGGAAACTAACGAATATTCTCGAATCAGAGGAAGGAGGATTATACGTGGCACAATACGCAGCTATAAGTAACACAACTGCACCTTTTGGTATATCAAGGGTAAATATAGCTACCTAAAACTTCATGGCAGAAGGAGACTTCTATATTTGACATAGAAGTTAGCAAACTTTCAAAAAACTAAGGATTTTCAACGAAAAACTGCTTGAAATTGAGAAATCCTTTCAACAATTACAAAGCCAGATTTATTGTGAACAAAAGCAACTAACTTCTGACGACTTAGCCTTGATGCTTTTACGTGCAAAGCCACTTTTTGAATAGTCTGCAAATTCTCTCATATTTGTCTTCAGCGGTTTCTTAGCGGCACTCTCCTCTTTACACTTCATCTGAAACGTGTGGTACCGTCATCACTGTACAATCAACGAGAAGACAAAAGATTGCCCTTCCAAGAAAACTAACCATGTGCAACAACAGTTTAGGGTCTCGACATACAGCATACGTAACGTCCAAAGAAAGTTTAATTTCACCAGAACTCATATTGAGATGCTTCTCAAGAGTGCTTACCAACTGCTCTAAAAAACACGATTAAGCCAGGAAAAAACATCATTTTAGATCCTTTTTGGAATTATATGGTGAAATGAGTCATCAATCATTATGAAGATAAGCTACAGATCAGAGATGTTATCATCGTATCACTATATAAGTGTTTCCAGAAATAAATACACAAAATTTCTAGTTATTGAATCGTCATTTCTGGAAGAAACGTGCACGAACCTTTGGTAAAGCTTTCAAAACCAAACTGAATGCAGCAGGAAAGAAGCGAAATCCTTTCGTTTTGGTACCATGAGATATCGGAAACGGTCAACGCTTTGATCTTTCCACCACTCTAGAAATGAAGCTGCAACGTTTAGAAGCCTCACTGAATTCACTTAGAAAAAACAATAGTACGACTACAAAACTCTGCTGGGGAAATAGAATGCCAAATGTTTACGCAGTATAAACTTAAGGGTGAAGGTTTTTTTAAACAACTAAACTACAAAACTAAAAAAAAAAATGAGGCCTCACTTAAGAAACAGAAAGAACCTCTTCCTAAATTACGGCAAGAAGAGGTTGAGTGAAACAGTACTGAAAACAAATAACCGCGACTCGTACCCGTTTGATGCGCTTAAAAAGAGTAATCCCAAATTGAGTCGAAAATTTATGAATACACTCCACATGACTAAGTGCTAAAACAACTGTCCGATCATTCTTCCTCCCGATGTCGTCAGATAGAAGAAAATTAAAAAGATCAGTTAATGTCTTGACTTTCCCAAAATCTTTTTCACTTGAAAATTTTCGTAAAACTTCAGAACAAAAATAGTGTAAGGATCCATTCACCAACAGCAAGTTCGCCGGTAATACAATAACCTGAAGAGATTTACTTTAAAGTGCTAATAAACACAAATAATTATTCAAGAAGTCTTTTTAAAGTTACTTTAGTAAGTTATTTATTTAAAGTTATCAATCAATACTGTGATCAGCAATAGCTAATTGCATAACAAATTACAGAATCTCTTACAAAAATGTGCCAAAACAAAACTATAATATGCTCACATCCGACTTTATAAGTGCAGCAATCACAGCTCGAAATGTTGCTGAAGCGTTAGATGAACGGACACCAAATAAATGAACATGTGTAATGCACGAAGGATAGCTTAAAAGAGCAGCTATCCGTTGTACTTTTCGTGCATCTGCTAATTCCATACAAATCCTGCAAATCACCTAATCAACATAGCGAGGATTAAAATTAATGATCAGAACACACCTCCATTATACCCCTAAACCGCATACCCATTAGCGTAAGTCTTTGAATTAAATAATATGGAATAATAGATAACTGAATGGAAACTTCACAATTTCAAAGAAAAAAAAAAATTATAAGAAGACAACAACAGACGCCAAAGCTCAACTAGCAAACTTTTCATTCAAATAGTATGTTGTGCTTCCCTTCTATTTTGGTTTTCAAAGAAAAGTAAAGTCTATCAAGTACACTCTTTTTTTCTCCTGAAATTCACACCCTTCTCCCTATCTAGCAAAATTTCTTTCAGAAAAAAACTTTCAACTTTTTTTCTCTTAATATATCTACCGCAACCTCTATTATCGAGCATGCTTTGCTATTTTATCGCGTCAAAACGTTTTCCAATCCAAACATTTACTTGCTGTCTTTGTGCCTTTATTTTCCATTTAGCCGTTTCCATTCTAGAAAAAAACGGTTTAAAAAAGAAATGACAAAAAAAATTACTACTGTTGCCCATTCCAATGGACTCAATGTTCTGCAGCCACTGATATCTACATTGGCCAAAAGTTAAAACTGAATAACAATTTGACTGCAAAACAGTTTTTAGCGGTGGTAAGTATTAAACATCCTATTACTTTGCAAACAATGATATTAGACGCCTAAACGCCATGCTCCCTCTACCGAATATGCATTAAAATCCACGGGATAGGTCAACTGATAAATGCTAACTTTAAAAAACGCATAAGAAACAAAAAAAAAACTTAAAAACTTTTCAAGTTAAAAAACGCGCAACAGGACTGTTGTTTTTGCCTGTAAAATGTTTAAAAAGTTTTTTTGGAATGACTTCAACTGTTGAATAATAAAATGGTCATCGCATTACGCTACCTGTCAACTATATTTAAAAATAGTAGTAGAAAAATAATAAGTAGTGAAAGAAAGGCTTAGGATATGAAAGAGGGACAGCAATACTATCAGTGTAAATTTTTTTCGTACATTTTTGGAAGGAGAATGGTTCTTTTTCAAGCAAAAATTTGAGACTACCTTTGATTTTTTGCATATACCGTTTAGGAGACGAATACGTAGTCCCCTTCAGCGACCGCCGACAAAAAATGTCAAAGGTAGTCTCGAGTTTTTGCTTGAAAAAAACCATTCTTCTTCCGAAAAGAAGCAGAAAAAAATCAACACTGGTAATATTGCTGTCCTTCTTTCATCCCCTATTTCTCTTTTTCACTATTTATTATTTTTCTACTACTATTTTTAAATTTTTTCTTACTTTTTGGCAAATGAGGTTTTTTCAAACTACCACTTTGAAACAGCGTATCTTCCTAGTAATAGTCCTGACCCTATATTTTTTTCACACATTCTATAAATATTAACTACGTAGAATCCTACAATAAAAGAACTGACAGCTTTTTCCGCGCAACTAACTGAGTTATTAAAGTAATTAGGTCAAAAAGTAATGTGTAAAAAAACGAAAACGCTCTTACATTTCTGCTAAAATCTCGGCAGAATGGAGGTCAAAAAGCATGAAATTCCGAAAACGGAAAGCTTAAACACTGTTAAACAAATGCTCTTCGTTAAACCTCATATAGCCTTGTAATACAAAAGTTTTGTATACCTTTCCGGAGTCCGCTGGCTTAATGTAGAGGTACTTCTTTACACTGCATTGGCACTGCGCCAAAGTTGCTGGAGCCGTTCAAAAAACATGGGCATTTTCCCACTTGTATTCTTGGCACTACAAATAGAAATGAACGCGATACATCTTTATATGCCAGTAGCGGAGTATAGAAGAGCAACGCGCTAAAGCACACTATAATATATGCAAGAAAACCAAATTTGTGACTACAGAAGAATCTGAAGATAAAACAAAAAATTTGTAATTATTGCAGTCATCGTTTTCGTAGGGGAACTGATTTGCAGCTGATCATTGAACAATGATATCGCCAATAAGAAATGGGTGCTTGCTGGAACGACTTAACCTTTTCGAACATGACCCTTAAGATAGATACAATCTCGTAGCGATTTATGTATTCAAGTGGTTTATTCTGAAGTCACTTCCACACTAGCCAGAATGCTCTTTAAAAAAGCCCCTGAACTATGCTAATCCGACTAGAAGTCACAGTTTTTTTTATTTTGATTGACCTATACTTTTTTTGCAGCCCTGCTGCAACTCCGGAAACTTTCTCCTCATTCAAGGTGCTCATTCTGTAAACAGCCTATAATTACCAAAATGCTTTAACGATGAGTTACATAGCTTTACTGGTGTAAATAGAGGAGTAGGATATTCTTCAGAGTCCCACTCCTTCCAGCAATTTTTATACACTATTTAATTACAAGTGATAGAGCGATTTCTTGAGATTGAAGTTCTGGACAGTTTCAGCAGCAAATTAAAGATTTAAACAAACATTTTTAATTATCTACAGAACCAGCACTTTAGTCATCGGTTAATGAAATATAGAAATTTATAATGATGATAACTTTGAAATGATTAGTATAGCTAGGACAGCTCCTTATTAGAATTTTTTTATAAGTATTAGGTTGATTCTAGAATGAACGCTAGACGGACGGAAAGCCTTCCGGAACTGTTGCAAGCTTGTGAAAAAATGAAGGCTGGTTGGGAAAAAGGTGATCGGTAACTCACAGTCAGACTAGCATGGTGTAGTAGCTCATTGTTCTGATGACTTTGAGTTACTAAATAGTCTTTTCAGAATAAACTCTCGAGATGCCTGAAACCTTTTATGGAATCCATGTCAAGCATCAGTCCTGAAAGGTAGGAATCTGCGGCAAAGATGCTCGTCATGTTAGGGGAAGTCAGTATGCAGGGACGGAATGGAAATGAGACGCCTCAGTGAAGATGATGGAGCTAATAATAGCTGTAAACAGTTTACTGGTCACTTTTGCCAACCCGTCCTTGTTAGACTAAATTTTTCCAAAGTACGAATTGAAATTTATTACTATTATGATTCTCACAGCAGATTGCATAGCAAAACATTGAAAAGAGCCCTATGAAATTTCGTTTGTGAACTGTAAAAGAATCTTCAACACTCTTATGTTGAAGTTATTCTGACTAACTTTTAGTTGGCTTTTTTTCCACTTTTCAAGAACTATTCTTCTGTTACTCACTGTGGTTTTGATAGTCTTTTTTTTTATGCTAATGTAAACGACAGGAAAGCAATTGACAGTTTATTTAAACGATTAATAAATGTAAAAAGA